TTATCCAAGGATGCTCGCGGGGGTTGCAGGTCGTCACATGTCACGCTTGTGTTTTCGGACACTTTCAGACCCGTGGATAACGCAAGATTAGAGGAGGCAAAACGAATTGAGTAGGAGCTAAGGGTAAGAACTACGCCTAGGGTAAGAAGCAAGGATTAAAGTACTATTCGTACGGAAAGGAAGTATACTACGTACGAGACTACCGTAGCCGCAAGGTATAACTATAGTAGAACTATAGAGCGGATCTTAGGGAGGTTAACGCTATAGAGATTAACGTTATAGAGCGACGTAATCTAGAAGCCGACAAAATCTAGGAAATCCTCGACGCTATACTAATTAACGATGTTAACGATTTTACTCCTAATTGCAATATAATCTAATAGACCCGCGGTAAGATAGTCCGAACGATAGAACTTACCCGAAGGGCCTTCCTAGAAAGAAAGGAAGAGGTCGACGAATAGGAGACTAAGTTCCTAACAGTAAATCTACAAACAACTTGCGGCAAGTTGTTTGAACGGAGCAATCAGATCGGGCGTAGAAATTAGGGTTAGGGTGCATTTTACGGCAAGTTGTTTGCTTTAGAAAAGGCAAGTTGTTTGACCTTCCCGTAGTCCAATACTCTCGCCAGAAAGATACGTTACTTGTTGACTTTTTTCATCGATACGTCCCATCGTCAGCGAGGCGAAATTCCATCGCGATCATGATGTTGCGCGGTCGTCAAAAAGTGGTGTGTGATGTCGAAGTAGGGTTGGAAGCGGGCAGCGGTCGGACGCGCGAGGGTACACGAACATCCCGCGACCGCGACCGCAGGGCGCCATCCACAATCCACCATAGGCTTATCCCCCATGCATAGATGTTACAGTGGAGTAAATAGCAAGATGGTGCAATGGCAGGATGTGTTCGTGCACCGACCCGATTTTGGTATTGTTATTTGCCAGCAATGCGAATATGCCGTAGTACCGCAGCAGGTGAACCGACATATAAAAGACCACCACCCGTTCATTTCGAAGCAGCAGCGGATAGCCATCGTCCAGTCCACACAGGCATTGCCGGATGTCGCGCAAACACATCAGGACGTAACGTATCCGTCCGCAGACGAGGTGCCCATTGCAGCATTGCCACGACGGTTTGCAGTGTCGCGAGTGTAGTTATGTTTGTCGCCATATCCAGAAGATGCAGGAGCATTGCAAGGTACAGCATCAATGGGTCAACCATCAGCGAAGAGGAGGCCAGGCAAAGAAGAAGCAGAAGCATAGTCGAAATGGTATTTGGAACGATAGTATTTCATGTCAGCGATTTTTCGAGTACGCTCAATGGCGACGATTGTTCGCCGTTCGAATTGACCATGTCCCCACCACACCAGTCAGTCGGCAAGCCGGCATCGAGATCGCGAAGAGGGTGTCCAGTAGTGTGAATGTCGCCCGAGCAGCCAAGCATAACCAGCGTCGCATCCAGAGCCATTCGCATCGATGTATAGCGAGCCCGTGGTTAGATTTCGTCGGATGGCGTCGTCATTTGGCCGGGTTTCCCGTCAAGGAGTTGATCCAGACCACATGGCCCGCGAAGGAGGAGGCCCACTTCGACGAGAGTATCCACGAGTCCCAGGATGACGCATACCCCGCCGGGTCCGAAGCCGCATTGGCACGAGCATGTCAAGCCACGAAGCGGATGATCCGGTACGCATTCCACACCAGTACCGTGGAGCATGTCGGGCGGGTGGCATTGGAGGCGGTCAATCGAAGAGAATTGGGTAAGGGAAACAACGAGAAGCCGTTTTACGGGCAGTTGAAGGTGCAGTCGTTGCGGAAGTACATGGAGGTATGGACCCGGATATTACGGTACATTTGGCGTACCGCCGACCAAGATGACATGCCCCGATATCGATTGACCGACGCCCAGCGCACGGCGTTGCAGCGGTTGCATCAGGCATGCCAGAAAGACGAGGATGAGAGCCGAGCCGAGGCCATCGACCGACAGACGGCAGCGGAGAAGGCGAGCATCGTGTTTTGGATCCGGATGTTCGACCACGAATTGCAGGACGACGAGTTCGACAGCGGCGTGATCAGCGCATTGGCCGTGTTAGGGTTGGACGAGCAGGGCAATTGGAAGGCCGCGTTGAATTATACCCCGACATTGTCGGCCGTCATCACCACCATGCGAGCCGTGGTGGTCCATCGGGCATGGTTGAGTCGACAGCAGGCCATTCAGCGGGCCATCGACGACGGTGAGCGCGAGGAAGATGCACAGCGGATGGCGCCGTCGGTAGTCAGTGGGGTGGACCAGTTGACCAAGCGATTCATGACCATGCGGGAGTTCGGTGGGAGGATCAGCCCGATGGACCGGTTGTATCACCAGCGGACGTATGGGTTACACATTCGATTCACGACCAAAGCAGAGGGTCGAGTATCGTGGCAGGGCGAGCAGTTATGCATTGACAATGTTAGTTTTGCAATCGATGATATCCGTTGCGTCGTCCATGGGTTAGTCGAGACCGTCCAGCAAGGGTTGGCAGGGTATTTGTTGTTGATGGAGGCGAGCAGCAATTCCGATTGGAAGCCCGCCGAGTTACCCGCCATCAGCATGGCAAGATTGTTTGACGACCCCGCCGAGTTGAGTGCCGGGTGGAGTTGGTTACAGGATGCCCGGACCGAATGGGCGGTCGATGGTCGGGATTGGATGTTGAATCGGATGTTCGCGGAGCGGGAGATGCAGAAGATGTTCATCCAGCATTGCCGCGAGGAGGTGCGAGGGTTTGACGATGTGCAATGGGACCATCCCGGCATCGAGCAGTATTTCCGCGCCGTCCGTCGGTGGAAAGAGCAGTTGGTGGTGTTGGTGCATTTGTCGGCCGGGGCACCCGCGCGAGCGACGGAGTTGTTAAGCATCCAGCACAAGAACGCCGCGGAAGCCCAGGCCCAGCGAGGGATATTCATCGAGAACCAGATGATGGCGTTCGTGACCACGTATCACAAAGGGTACAGTGCGAGTGGCCGGTTCAAGGTCATCCATCGGTTCGTGCCGGATGAGGTGGCCGAGTTGGTGGCGTATTATTTGTGGTTGGTGCAGCCGTTCGTCGAGTATTTGCAGTTCGTTTCCGGGCAATACATGGACGAGCCGACATCATTTTTGTGGGAGCCGGAAGCCGAGGAGGGATGGGGAGCGGGAGAAGATGAGGAGATCGGGGACGAATTGCATGCGGACGAGGCGAGCGTGGATGAAGGGGATGAGGATGGGTTCGAGCCGCCGAAGCCCGCAGCCGTGTCGGCGAACTTGGATGGGTTTTGGGACACGAATCGTGTCCGCCGGGTGATGCAGCGCGAGACGGAGAAACGGATCGGGGTCCGGATTGGGGTGGCATTGTGGAGGCAGGCATATCCGGCGATCCAGCGGAAGTACAGCGTCGATTCGACGGTCAAGGCCACGATCGATCAGTTGTACGAGCAGGTGGTCGGCCCGGCGAGTGGCCATCAGAGCATGGAGGAGGTGCGAGCCAAGCAGGCCGGTCACGGGTTGCATATGGAGGAAATGATATATGGGTTGTTGTTGAGCGAGAGCCCGTTTGCGACGATGCACGAACGGGAGCAGTTCCGACAGGTCAGCATGGATTGGCACCGGATGTTGCATTTCCAGTCGGCGTGGCGAGCCGACGGTCGCGTGCCGAAGCAGGTCCAGCAGCAGGTGGAAGTGGCCCGGCAGGAGGCCCGTCAATGGCGGTACCGACAGATGCGCGGGGTGGACATTGATGTGCAGTTGCGACGGGTGACGCAGGACCCGACCGCCGCATTCCGAGGGATCCAGCGAGAGGGATTGCAGGCGATTGTCGGGGGGGTCCCGCGCGTGACGATCGTGATGCGGACCGGTGGTGGGAAGAGTTTGTTTTTCATGATCCCGGCCGCCGGAAGCAAGGATGGGGTGACGATCGTCGTCGTGCCCGTGGTATCGTTGCGACAGGATTTGGTGGACCGATGCGAGCGGGTGGGGTTGTCCGTGGCCGCATGGGATGGCAGTCGACCGCCGTACCACGCCCGCATCATATTTGTCACGCCGGAGAGTGCGGTGGGGTTGGCATTCGGCCGGTTCATCGACGAGAAGCGAGCGTCACATCAGTTGGAGCGGATCGTCATCGATGAGTGCCATGGGGTATTGGAGGCCAGCCGGCAGTGGCGACCGCAGATGTTGCGGTTGCAGGAGATGGGGCAGAAGGATGTGCAGACGGTATATTTGACGGCGACATTGCCGCCGAGTGAGGAAGAGGCATGGTTATCGATGATGGGCGTCGCCCGTCGAGACATGCATATGATCCGGGATGTCACGACGCGACGGAACATCGCGTATGCCGTCGCCCCGTACATGGTCGAAGAGGAGGCGGTACGGGTGCAAACATTGGTCGAGGAGAAGTGGGCCCGGTATCCGGATGGACAGATCATCATATATTGCCGCACGATCGAGCAGGTCAAGGTGGTGGCGGGATACACGGGCGGTCAAGCGTTTTATCGAGGCATCGGGAGCAGCGCGGAGAAGACGCAGATATTGCGACGGTTGACGAGCCAGCGAGAACGATTGTTCGTGGCAACGAATGCGTTGGGATTGGGGGTGGATGCGCCGCGGATCCGGTGTGTGATCCATGTCGGTTGCCCGTCGGCGATGAAGCAGTATGCACAGGAAAGCGGGCGTGCCGGGCGAGATGGGGTGGCGAGCGAGGCGATCATCATGCGTCCGATGCAACGTCAGCACGGAGTGGAGAAGGCGATCGGGGAATGGAAGACGGAGGGAGCGATGGCCCGTTTTTTGGAGGGGTCGGAGTGTCGCCGGGTGGTGTACGATCGACATATGGATGGCCGGAGCGACCGGGTCGGATGCGAGGATGGGGAGGAAGCGTGTGATGTATGTACCGAGCGTCCGAGGGTTGGGAAGAAGCGGCGCATCACGTCGGAGAGGATTCACGTCGGAGAAGGTTTGAGTGATGTAGGATCAGGCATCGTAGGAGATTTGGACCGAAGGACGATAGTGGAAGAGGAGGCGGTCGACGGCGGACAGAGCGGCACGGATTTGGCAGAAGCATGGCAACGTGAGCGGGATGAGATCGAAGCATCCGCGGTACGGATCACGGCGATCCAACAGCGAGCGCGGTCACAGGTAGTGGAAGGGTATTCGCAGGCGGAGCAGTTCGACGAGTTGTTGCAGCAGTGGCAGGGTCGATGTAGCATATGTGCCGTCGGCGGGTTCCGCGAGGCAGGACACCGGACGTGGAGGGAATGTCCGCAGCAGCAGCATCGAGCGGGCGTGGAGCGTTGTTGGGTGGCATTGAAGCGGGTTCGGTATCAGTACAGTGCATGTTACCGGTGTCACGCCCCGCAAGCGATATGTCATTCGTGGCAGGCGATGGGCGGGCCGAAGACCGGGCGGTTCAAGCGACAGGGTGTATCGATGGCGTGTCAGTTCGACGGAGTAATGCAGGATGTCGGGGCGGCGATTTGGGCGATGGGTAAGGAAGGAGTGGTCACGGAATGGTTAGGAGAGCAATTGCAAGTCGCGGTCATCGACACCGAGGCCGACAAGGAGAAGCGGGGTTTGGGAGGGATTGTAGAATGGTTTGGGAGGCGATTCGTTGTCGGAGGGATCGAGGTGTCGGGGTTGTGCCGGATGGTTTGGCAGTTTGGACGTTTGCAGTAGGATGTCGCCCGAATCATTCGAGGGTATAAGAGGATAGGTATTTCGTTTTATCGAGTAATTAGATCGTCGTAGATATTTCAATAGAAGAGGGTAGAGGTGAGTGATAACAGTTGTCAGAGTATCATTGTCATAGGGGTAGAGGTAGATAATATATAGGGTGATAGTGTTTTAATAGTAGTACTACCAATATTCTTGAAAGAACTTACGGCGAGTTCTTTGCTTTTGTATACAAAATTTGTCCGAGCGTCCGAGGCACCTACTACGAGTTCTTTGCTTTTTGACTACGAGTCCTTTGCTCTTCCCGTGCTTCAAACATCGCGAAACTCGGACGCGTAGGAGCTATCATATTCATCTTTGCGTAAGCGGAAATTGAGAAGCATAACATGGGTAAGTATATGTAGAAAGGCCGAGTAATTCTGCGTTCGGGCTGGAGCAGTGCTTAGGGTTACTAGGGTTATCACGCGCTCGGGCTCGACTTCATCAGACCGATGCACGAACATCACCCGAAAAAGCTCAACAAGACAAGCTAAACGCGAGAGGAGACCGCAACGATGTGGGGAGCTACTGAAGATATCACAGCCATTTTACAGGATAAGCTTGGCGAGGACACCATCATCCGGGTTAGATTCTTCTTCTGCTACGTTGCCGAATAAGAAATCACGGTCTTGACCGACAATCGAATACGGCTCGACGGGACGAAGTCCGTCGGCTTTCCAATGTGTTCGTGCCCACATTATGTGGAAGATGTGCTCGACGGACTGCAGCTTGAAAGGTAGCGGAAGACAATTCGTTGCGTACCTCACTAGCGAGGGAATCCTTGTCCTCACAGACGACCGAGCGTGGCCTACCCTTTCGGATAGCTGATACACTAGCGTCCTCGCATGGTATCTTCGTTATGAGTAGAGCGGCTTCATGGACGTGACACGTCGCACATTAGTCCGGGTCCGACTCGTCTGTTTCGGATCCGTCTGTGACGAATAATGTATCCCAGCGACGGGGCCGCTTCGGCGTCTCCTGGCGTTCCTGCCTGGCAGGAACGATTGCTGTGCCGAAACGATGCTTTTGGTTGTTGTCGAGCTTACTCCCATTCGTCCGGATCTCGTCCAAGATGGAGTAGGTTGCCGCAGTTACAGGACTGCGACAACAGTCGCAAAATCTTGTCGCGAGGTAGTCAGGGTCGTTCAGCTCGGCGAAGGATTTCGTCAGCTCTCGAAGGGCATTCGCGAAGGCGGGTCCGGCGCAAGTCTTCGAACTTGACGTTGCAGGCGAGGGATGTGGTGTCGATGCGGGAGGTGAGTCGAGCCGTGCAGTGGATGGGATGGGGTTGGGAGTCGTTGCCGTCCGTGGCTCTTCTAGGGTGTGATGCTCTCCCTCGTCGTCCTGGCTGGTCGCCAGCGACTCCCGCGTCTCGCCGACCTCCTCCACTGGCTTCCGAATGATCTGATTTCTGACGCGCTTGGTGAGCCAGCGTCCATCACCTGATTTCTTCCAGCCGTCCTCCTTTGCCACCGCGGCTCCACCCTCATCGGCCACGGTATCTGACGTTCGCTTCCGCTTCTTTGGCATTTTCGTCAGCGTAGCCTCCGCGTAGTCCGGCTCCGGGACAGTCGACCGAGACGGAGGCTGACGAGGGATCAGCTCGACCCGGAGTCGTTCTTCTTTCGGCTCGTAGAGAGGGACACCGTCGGCATTGCGGTCGTTCTGGCGGCCGTTCCCAACGGTCCCATCCGGAATGGAGACGTCGGCGAGGACCAAGAACGGCGTGACTCGACCCTTGATGTCCAACTCGCGGCGGGCGCCCACATCGTTGCGTCGCTGGATCGCCTGCATCCAATCTCGGACCGCCATCTCTAGCGAGCGACCTTGTTCGGCCGTGGTCGCGATGCGGGCCAGAACATTCTTCGATAGGTCTTCCGGGCCCCGCCAGCGCTCGTCGCGGATGGACAGCGGCACCTCGTGGAACCAATGGTCTCCCCAGCACGCCTGGATGCGTCGGGTGCTGTTACGCTTGGCCGTCTGCGCGGCGGTACCGATGACGAGACCCGTTCGAATGTATCCCGCCCGGTCGAGGCACTCCACGAAGTCCTCCGCGGAGCGGATATTCCGGTCTGGGTGCGTCTTCCACATCTCGTGCACCTGCATGTATCGGTAGACGAGGGCCAATCCACTCGCCGTTTCCGCGGTCTCGTCCGCGAGGTCTTCCAAGACCGCCGTCACGGCCTCATGCGGAGCGACGCCCTCGCCGGGACGTTGCAAGTACTCCAAGATCGAGCGCTCCGGATAGTGCTTACAGAAACGGCGTTGGAGGCCATGCTCAGCCGCCTCAATCGTGATCAGGTTCAGACGTTCGTTCAGATCCCCGCCCTCGGCCGCAGCGAAGCGCCTCTGCTGAGAGCGTGTCTGGTGTTGGCTCATTGGATCGTAGCGCATCACCTCATGACCTTGTGTTGAGGGCCTGGTGGCCTCGGCAGGCGCAGCACTCATGACCGCGGTCGGAGCAGGCGAAGTGACCGTCGTCTCCATGGAGCTCGCGTGTCGGAAGCGTGCTAGGAGGCTTTGCACGGAATCCGTCTGGATTAGAGACATTATCAGTCCAGGCTACGGTGCGACGGATGTAGGGGCATGGACGAAGTTTGCGGACGTCTGGGGAGCACGCATAGGCCGGGGTCATGTTTGATGGAAATTGCAACCCCTGGGGGCACGGATGTGAATGACTTGCTGACTCAGCCAGCGGGCGGCCTCTGCATGACTAAAGCTCATGCTCACCCGCTTCGCAAGGTGCAGATGTCGAACTATATCACGCGAAATCATCTCATGAGAGGACTAAGAAGCATGTCGGTCACGTTGTCGGGGAGATTGAACTGTCCATGACATCGCCTTCGCCGTCGCCGTCGCCGCCGCCCGGGTCCGACCGCACGCGGGTTTCGGCAGGGGCTCGAGCGCAGGGCCATGCCCCACGCGCCCGCCACTGTCACATCTCACGCGCAAGATCCGCGCGTGTGATGGATCGACACACCAGGATGTCCATGGGAAAGGGGGGATCGCGCGAGAAGGGGTTCAGATGGCTGACGGTGGGCACGTAGGTAGGGACGGGGGCCTCTCATGCTCCCGGTGCTCGTCGACATGGCAGACTTCGAGGACCTCTTCCGTCACGCACCGGAACATCGTGTGATTGTTTGCCGAAAATGTAGATACGCGCCGGTACCCGACCAAATTCAGCGGCATCTCAAGGATCACCACCCGCAAATATCCGTGGAGCAACGCGGAGAAATCGCTCTGACCGTAGAGTCCCTCCCCGATCTAGCACGTCGACCGCAGGACGTCATCTACCCTCCCGATTCGCGTGCTCCCATCGATGGTCTCGGCGTGTTGTTCGAATGTCTTCGGTGTACGTGGCGCGAGCCCACCGGAAGACGGTGCCGTTATGCGTGTCGCGCGGTCAAACGAATGCAGAGGCACTGCAAAGAAGAGCATCAATGGGTGAACCAGCAACAGCGAGGAGGGGATAGCCGGTCGAAGCAGCAGCACGCTCCGAACAAGATGTGGGAATCCGGACGTGCATGCCAGCGCTTCTTCAAGGTTGGAGAGTGGCAGCGATACTTCGAGGTGGCCGCGAGCGGTCCGTCATCGAATCGTCGCGAGGTTGACGATCGACGGGCCCGATTCTTTCGGCAGCAAGAAGATGACATCCAGCAGGCCCATCACGATGCCTCCGTGGCGGCCAATATGGTGGAGGGATTCGACAGCCACCGCAGCACCGTGCTTCCGTGGCTTCAAACGACGGGCATCGTCGATCACGTCGGCGGTTTGAAGAAGGATGAGATCCAAGCGGCCATCGTCTTGACGATATCCGATGAAGAACTAGGCTTGGAGAGGATCTTCAAGACCATGGAAGACGTCCTGCGCCAGGCGCACGGCTACTGTTTCGATGGGCCCGAGTGTATGTTGACGTGGCAGTGTCGCGTCGTCCTCGGCCGTTTTCAGTCCGCCCAGGTCGAGACTCTCGGCAAGACCAGAGCGTTTGAACCTCACAAGAATCCGGGGACCCTCCGGAAATACTTCCGGCCCGCGAAACAGCTGCTGGCATACATCTATCGCGTCGTGGCCAATCGAGGTCATCACTTCACCTGCGACTCGGACGACTTTCGACGACCGGAGGACGTGGTCACACTGACATCGGATCAGGCGCGGGCCTGGCGTTCGATCCACCGGCTGATGCGGGAGACCCGCGACGAGGATTCTTCCCAGCCATCCGTCGAGCTGCACGGTCGACTCCTCGAATTCTGGATGCTCCTCATCCGCGACACCACCGGTGCGCGACGCTATCGGTCGCCGTTGGTGAGCTTCTGCGCCATGCTGAGCATCAAGCCGTCGACGTCGAGCTGGATGGAGCCCGGCAATTTCAGCAGCCATCTTTCGGCCATCATCTGGATCGTCCAGCTGCTCATCTTCTACGACAGCGCTCGCAAGGAGAGGGATGGAGACGGCACGACGCTCTCGCACATCAAGCGGTGCTGCGAGGATTATCTCCAACAGACGGTCGAGACCCCGATGGGCCAGCTCTTGCGATGGCGTCTGTTGCTCTTCCACGTCGCCCAGAACACCGTCGGGCAGCACCAGGCGACCTGGAACGAGGCCGAGGACATCGTCAGTTTCGAAGGGACCGATCTGCACCTGGACGACGTTCCGGCGTTGTTGAAGTCCGAATACGACGAGTGTCGGCGGCTGCTTCACGAGGATCTCATGTTTGGATCGACGGACTGCCTGCGAGTCCACGCCGACGCCTTGAAGGACAGTCCCGAGGTCCAAACCGTCGGATGGGACTTCACGCAGCATCGAGACAACCGGACACTGCTCCAGAACCGGGAGCGGAGGCTGTTGCGGGTCATCGAACGGTCGGAGACGCTGCGTGACCTATTTCTGGCCGAGGGCCAACCAGCCGACGGGGCGGTGGTCTGGCGCGAGAGTGCCCTGGCCACCTACGAGACTACCGTGCAAGATTTCCTCCAGCGCCTGTGCACCATCATCCACATCAGCGGCGGCCAGCCCGTCCGCGAACCCGAATTCTTCTCCATGACCTGGTGCAATACGCAACGACCGCGGAGGATCACGATCCGTCACCGGCGGGTGATGATCCATCTTCAATATCACAAAAGCCAACAACAGACGGGCCAGCTCCGGGAGAACATCCGCTTTCTGGCTCGTCCGGTGTCCAATCTCCTGCTCGACTATCTGGTGTACGTTCAACCGCTCCGTCGAACCTTCCTCCGCCAGTCGTCTCCCCGGGCCACCCTCTCGCCCTTTCTGTTCGAGAAAGATGGGCGGGTCTGGCCGGACAGTCAGCTGACCCGGTGTCTCGAGCGATCCAGTGTCCGGGCGGGCGTATCACGACTCCACATCTCCAATTGGCGGCAGATGACGGTCGCGATCGTCAAGACCAAGTTCGCGAACCACATCGGCCACTTCGAGGACGACGACGACGACGAGGGTGCGGAGGAGGCGGATCTCGACGTTCGTGCCATGACGAAGCAGCGCAACCACAAGACGCGGACGGTGAATCGCGCGTACGCCAACCAAACGGCGCCGATGTTCGGGAACGTGTGGGATGGTCTGCTGCGGATGAACCTCCGGGCCTCGACGCTCTGGCAGGACTTCTGGGGCATCGACATCATCCTTCGAGACCGGAAACGGAAGGGCGAGGATCCCAGTGATGATTCACGGCTGAGCAAGCGGATCGCGAGCGGCATCTATCGACCGCGCCCGCCGTGGTCGTCGGAGGCCCTGCTGGCGGGACTGCGGCAGTTGTACCGGGACGACTCGATGGTCTGGAGAACGGCGGAGCAAGAGCAGACTCTTGTGAAGATCATGTCCTGGACCGATCAGGTCGTGGCCATCCTGCCGACCGGGGCCGGGAAGAGCCTGTCTTCATGCTGCCCTGTGCCCTCCCCGGCGCCGGCGTCACCATCCTCATCGTCCCGCTCGTGGCCCTCCGGATCAACATGATCCAGCGCCTCGACCAGCTCCACATCGACCATCTCGAGTGGTCTCCCGGCGAGCGGCGGGAAGCCGCCCTGGTGGTCGTCAGTGCGGAAGCCGCATGCCAATCCGACTTCCGGAAATATGCCACCGCTCTGCGGGCCCGGCAGCGACTGGATCGAATCGTCGTGGACGAGTGCCATCTGACCGTCACTGCCGCGGGTTATCGATCCAGTCTCGTCGACGTGACCGCCCTGCGAGGTCTCCGAACGCAGTTCGTCTACCTGACGGCGACGCTTCCTCCGTCGATGCTGGCGGAGTTCGAGGAGCGCAACTACCTGCACCACCCCACGGTCATCCGGGCGTCGAGCAACCGGCCGAACATCAAGTATACGGTCGCAAGGGCCAAATCGGGCGAGGTCAGCCTTCTGGAGCAGGCGGCCGGGAAGGCGCGAGACGCCTGGGATCGATCGGATCAATTCGATCACGGCCGGGACAAAATCATCCTCTACGTGCGTTCCGTTCGCGATGGGGAGAGTCTGGCCGACATGCTGGGCAGCGAATGCTACACGGCAGAAAGCGGCACCGTCGACGAGAAGCGGGCGATCCTCGACCGATGGACCACCGATCCCCTTCGGCCCTGCATCGTCGCCACGTCCGCACTCGCCGAAGGTTTCGACCACCCTTATGTACGCTTCGTCATCAACGTGGGCGAGCCACCGTCGCTCATCACTTTCTCGCAAGAGTCCGGACCGGCGGGCCGGGATGGGCAACGTGCCGATTCCCTCGTGCTCCTCCCCTCGAAATGGAAGCCTTCCGCTGTCGAGCCGGGCACTCTCGACGACACCGTCCGCTCGAGAGACGATGCGAGTCTGGCGAAGCAATGAGAGCGGACGGCTGTTCACGAGTATCTCCGAGGCGCCCAGTGCTACCGAACCACCTTGACCGAACGCCTGGACGCCGGACAGCATCGACGATGGTGTATGAAGGAAGACGTGGCTTGTGCCATCTGCCAGACCAGCCACGAGGAGGCCATCCCGCCCCAGGAGAGTGCCGGCTCCGGTCCACCGCCGGCGGGCTTCGATTTGATCCGCAAGACACGGTTGCAAGCGCAGCACGAGCTTTCCCAATACCAACACCACCTCGCCAGTATGAAGGGCAGCTGTGCTCTCTGTCGGGGTCGTGACGATCGGTGGGATCACACGTTCGACGCTTGCCGTCGCCGCCACGAGGTCTTTCGTGCCCGGGACGCCGTCCTCGGTCGCTATCAGCAGAAGGGCACGAAGTGGATGAAGGCCTACACGGCATGCTTCCGATGCTTTCAGCCCCAAGTCATCTGCGCGAGAGCCGATCCCGATAGCGTCGCACGCCATCAACGGGAATGCGAGTATCGAGACATCGTCCTCCCTTTGTGTTTCGGCATTTTCCACAGCGTCAACGGACCGACATGGCTGAACGAGCAGTTTGGGCGGTTCTTTCCGAGCTTGGATAGGTACATGGATTGGTTAGGCGAAGAGAGTCGCCTCGGGGGCGAAAGGGCTACACAGAGCGTTCGTGTAGTCGCTCGAATGATGCTAGAGCACTGTCCCGTCTAAAGGACAAGAATGCTATACCCGTCCGAATCCGTTTCGCTACCCTGTCGCTAATAGTATAACGATCTCATTAGAGGGGAAAACTAAGGGCTACTTTAGTTAGATAAATAAGAGCCGCTTAGACTAAAAGATGGAAAGGAACTCCTTAGATAAAGAGATAAGAAGACAAATTAGATTAAGAGATAGATAGAACGTACCCCTAGCTTAAAAGAAGGAAAAGAATCGATACTACTTTAGTATAAAAGAAAGTAAGAGATTACTTAGATTTAGACTTAGATAGATATAGAAACTACAAAAGTTAGAAAGATATAAGAACTACTTAGACTAGAAGATATAAGACGGCTTAGGGTAGGAAATAAGGGACCGCTTAGGTTAGAGAAGAAGAGATTACTTAGGTTAGAAAATATAGAAACTACTTAGGGCAGGAACTAATAGAAGAACTACTTAGATTAGAAAATAAGAAAAGAACTACTTAGGTCAAGAGATAAGAAACCGCTTAGGTTAGAAAACAAGAGGAGAACTACCGAGATTAGAGGGATATACAAACCGCTTAGGTTAGAAAGATATAGAAACCGCTTAGATTAGAATATATAGAGACCGCTTAGGTAAGAAAATAAGAGAGAAGCCGCTTAGATTAGAATATTTAGAGACCGCTTAGGTAAGAAAATAAGAGAGAAGCCGCTAAGGTTAGAAAGATATAGGAACCGCTATAATTATAATTAGAAAGAATAAAAAAATAAGGAAAAGGAGAGGATAGATAGAAGAAATATAAGAAAAAAATAAAGAAAGGAAAAAGGTAGGAGAAGAAAAGAAAGTAGAAGAGGAAAGGAAAGGAAAAGAAGGAAAAGAAATATAGGAAGATAGAAATATAGAAATATAGAATAAATAAAGAAGGAAAAGGAAAAAGAGAAAGTAAAAGAAGAGGAATAAAGTTAATAGTTTAAGAAAAGAGAATATAGAGAAGGATAGAAAAGAAGAAAATTAAAGAAAGAGATAAATAGAGGGTAGTTTAAAGAAAAGGAATAAGGAGAAAGAAGGAATTATATAGAAGATATTTAGAGTTAAAATAATTTATTTTTAGAGGAAAGATAAAGAAAGGAAGAAGAAAGTAGAAAGGAAGGGAAAGAAGTAAAGTAGAGAGATTAGAGATTAGAGAAGAAGGGGAAAGAAATAAGGGAAGAAAATTAAAGAAGGAAAGAAGAGAGGAGAATAGAGAGAAAGAAAGATTAGAATAATAAGAGAAATTAGAAAAGAATAAAGAAATTAAAGAAGATTTAAGAATTAGATAAAAAAAAAGAATTAGGGTTAGGGTTAGGGTTAGGGT